ACTTGTGGGAGTGTCTCAAGGGAGCACAAATGATCCATAGCGTAAAAGAGCATCTGAAATTTGCCATAGGTACATGTGGGAGAGTCTCAAGCGAGCACAAATGATCCTAATAAAGCCGTGGTTACGATCTGCTCGAGGATAGGTCCTAGGGAAACGTGTTTTTGTTTTCTTGATTTCATATCTTCATATATATTTACTCTTAATATCAATTGTTTTTATACCTCACAAAGAGATTATAAATTTTTTCATTCCTTTTCCAATACCTCGATCCAGGACCACCAAAAATATATACATCCTTTTAAAAAATATCATAGAAATTGTTCACTGAATTGTCTCAAACGATATTATTAAACGTAAATAAAGATTGCTACAACTATAAGCTAAGAGTTTTCCATGAATTAATTCCATTATAAATACGCGAGCACGAACGTTATACAAACCGTAGAAGATTGTATGGCGAAAGCGTGTTTAAAGACTTGCAAGATCTTTTCAACTGAGAAGGAAATCCGTTTTTAAGATTGTAAAAGAATTCTTTTAACATACACACACAACAACATTAAAATCAATTTTCATCATGCTTACACATAGTCCTATACAAAGCTTGTGATGAAAGAAAAGACAATTTTCTCTAAGAAGGAAAATAAGTTTCGCGTCCGAATCCTATCAATATTGTCCATCATATCGCTTGGTGTGAATTTTTCCTTGTAAACAATTTGAATCAAATGACGTCACAACGGAAATAAAATATTGAACGAAAACACAATGTAAGGCGATAATTAAATGTATTTATAGAAAACACTTGATTTTTGCTACGTGTATATCTTAGCCTAAACATAGTAAAGTGAAGTAGCGAGGAAAAGTCTATTTTAATAACAATATGACAATTTTTTTTTTTTATTTTTAAGAATTTTCCAACACATTTTTAGCAATTTAATCAATTTTAGATTCTGAATAAATTTAATTAAATTTGAGCTCTCTTTTTTTTTAGTTTGCATAACCATTGCAATGAAGTAAAGTAATTTAATATAAATTGATTTGTAGCATAACTAAAATCCGCTCTATTCGTTTTTGTTAGACTTCTGGCTTTCAAAATTTAATGCTCCAATTCGTTTCTAATCTGTCACTTTATTATATTTTAATTACATTATATTTCATGCATCGCTTAAAAAAACGCAATACAAAATTTCTTAATCAGTAAGTGAAAAAGTTTCTTCAAACTTAAAAACAGTTCGATGAGAACAAGAAACTAAAACGGTATTCGATCGCCATTATCTTAAAAGTGAGAGACAATGAGTTATCCCGCATTCAATACGGGTTATCAACCGAGACCTGCATATCAGGGCTGGCCAACCGCTAATCATCATTTTATGGGTCCCGGAACCTATGTAAACAATGGAGCTTGGCCGACATCAGGTGGCCATCAATCATATTATGGGTAAGAACCGATTAATTTAAATCAAAAAAAAAAAAAAAAAAATATGCTTTAAAGTTTGTTGGATCGTAGACCAGCTTCACAGGATTACGATTATCACACAGAAACGGATTTGCACGCACCCTCTCTGAGTACGGATGATCTTTCCTATCAACAGACAAGCGATGCTGGCCGGGCAAAGGGATCCAAGAAAGGGTCTGGTATTTTTAAGGGCATCAAGAAAAATAACTCATCTTTAATAAGTGCTTTGACCTTATTGTCTTTTTTCTTTTTTCTTAACATACTAAACAATTGCATACGAGATCAGATGGATTCGGTAAATCCAACGGTCATGGTAATGACCGCCAATTTAAAACGCAAAAGCAATAAAATGGATATAACGAATTCCCGGCAACAATCGTCAGCGGAAAACTTAGCAGCGGCCGTTTCGGCCGTGAAACATACTAAGCACGTCAGCAGTACAGAACGTTATAGAGATTCATTGGATTCGATATCTTCATCACCTTTTAGTCATTTACCCGTAAATCCGTACGCAATAACAACGCAACAGCAATTTCAATCACCTTATCTGGAACAACATCCCGATTCTTATGATTCAGGGGAAAGATACATAAATTCCACGCTAGGATATGAAAATTATTTTCAATCTAAGGTACCCGTGCAAATTACCAATAAACCTCTAATGCCGCTTATAATGCAAAGACCTAATCATCGGCCCGTTGAAGTTTCTTCTTATGAAGAAAATGAATATCCTTACCATGAATCGGAATCGTCATCATCATCATCATCACACACACAATCGTATATAAATTCTAATTTCCCTTGGGCTCTTAAACGATCATCGGTCTCGTCATTCAATCTAGGACCTTATAGAAGAGCATCAATTGTCTCTGTAACTCCCACCGCGAAATGGACCTTGATTACTACAACCAATAATAATAAATAAGTATAAGTAAGCAATGTTTTATTTTAAAGTTTTTTAAAAGCGTAAAATGCCCATTTACGTAATAATATTTAAAATTCTTAATTTTAATTACGAATATTCGTTCAATTATACTTTCCCTTTTAAAAGGTGCACTCACTAACTGCGCCCTTTTTCAATCTGTACGAATTAATTTGTTTGTCTTCATATTATGGAAAGCAAATCTAAACCATTGCAACACCTTAAGCAAATCATATTACTATCATTAAACGGTGCATGTTTAAGGTAATTGCTCGTTGACCAAAGCGCGCCGTTTCTAGTGCGTGTGTAAGAGAGAGAGAGAGAGAGAGAGAGAGAGAGAGAATTTACATTTTAAGACATTAGGCGGCGCGTGATTGCATGTCATCTTTATAATAGTTATGCATATAGAATTAAAACAGATCTCGATTTTGTTGGAAAAATCAAACATTTATGCATATACATGGATGTACATATTTGTATATATATATATATAGTAGAAAGGGTGTTTATTTGGCTGCCATTAAATTAATTATAAGAAGTAATGCAAAAAATGGGATTGTTTTCCATTTCATTCAAGGCCATTGATAAATTGATATAAATTTTCAAGATAATAAATTCAACGGCGTCTATTTCATTGCACTTTATATGCCTTTCTTGAAAGACGAAAAGTTCAATTTGAATATTTTCAACAGATCTTAGCCTTAGCGCTAAGAAACAGATGCGGTCTAAAATTTGCACATATATCTATCTAATTTTATTTGAAGATTTCGGGCCAATTTTTGTTACGTTTTTTGCATCCTACACCACTTGTGTAGGGTATATACTACAAGGTATGTTAAGTTAGTGCGGACATATGCGACACACAGAAGAGCTTAAGACCAACGTTTTACGATACCGATCGATTCAGAACCATAATCTGAATTGATCTAAGCATGTCTGTCCGTCTGTCCGGTTTGTGTCCGTCCATGTAAACTTGTGTTCAAGCTACAAGTCACAATTTTAGAGATATTTTGATGAAGTTTGATACACAGATGTGTTTTGGCCCCAAAACGAACGCTATTGAAAATGGTTTACCACTTGGTCCACTTTTTCAACCACTCCCCTTATAAAGCATTGTTCTAAAAAGTCACAATTTTTAGACTATGCCGGCAATTGTGACCAAGTAATAGTATTTCGGATTTCTAAATTGAAAGCTTTGAATCGGCTGAGCCAATTTTTGAACCCTCTCTCATATAACGCAGACTAAAGTTCATACGACAAAAAGGTATAACTTTCAATGCTTAATGATGAAAATTATATCGTAATAGTAGGTTAACGTAAAAAAATGAACTGTACCAAATTTGGACAATCTCGGCCTATTTTTTGAATCCTACGCTAATAAAGATTTTTACGAAAATTGATCCTTTGTAGAGCAGAAAAGGCCAAGTTTTAATATATGATGATGAAAATTGACCCATAAAAGTTATTTCATACAAAAATGAAATCTACCAAATTTGAACCATGTACGCCTATTTTTGGACTCTGCCCTATGTAAATTTTAGGAAAGTTGCTGTTTTTTAAGACAGAAACAAGATAAAATTTTTGTGTTCTATAATAAAAATAAGAATTGTGCTAGACAATGTGGTGTGGTATATTTAATGGCTAACCTTGACCGACTGTAGCGTTCTAAGAACTTGTAAGCAAACTCAAAATTATAGGCTTTTCTCTAACGTGTCTAAAGATTAAATGAAAAGAAAATAATTTTAAAACTAGAAAAATTCATGTACAAATAAGTAAATACTAAATAAAAAAAAAATGAAGTGAAAAAGAAAAAAAAAAACAGGCATATATATATGGGTCAGAAATACACGCTCACAGGCGGTATATGTCATATTGGGAGTGTACTACAAAAATCAGCGCAAACACGCAAAAGCTTAGCGTCCGATCACGGCAACACTAGTTAATATATTTAATACAATAAAAATAATAAATAATTTAATTTTAATTTCATAAAATTTAATAAAATCATTGAATATAATATCAAGTAAGAAAATTATATTCTAAAACTAAATTTTCATCCGCTATGATAGGGGATGACCGCGGTTGGATGTTCTTATTTTCAAAATAAATTGTTTTGGCGCATAGGCGTGTGTGTGACATTGCAGACGGGTCCTTTAAAAAGTTGAGAGCACTTTCAAATTCTTTTGCAAATTTTTAGGCGATATCTTCATTTTTGCGAAGGACAGAATGTTTAGCACAGATGCTACGCAGTTTGGTAGGCTAACAGACTGATATGCTTAGGTGCATTTCAAAATTGAAATTGCCCAAGAACTCAATTACTTTATGGGGCTTTTGAAGCTTCTTTCTCGCTTTGTAAAGGTATCGCAAAAAGTTAAATTTTGCTACACTATAACGTTGAGTAGAAGTGGCCAACCTTTCCCATTTTCATAAAGGTATTACAGCATCACCTGTTGAACTTCAATAGCGGGGCAAGTTAATTGAGCTTGGCTTGCAAGATGAGTGCCCAGCCCACACTTGCCGATCGACCTTTGACACCCTGTCCAAGCCGTCTTCAATTCTGCAAAATCATTCCGACAGCTAAATCGATGACACAAAACGTCATTAAACATGGACTGCAGACATAAATTCCTTTCCAAAGAAAAATGCTGCTTTAAGGAGGTTTGCAAAAATGCAATCAAGTCCAGAGAGAAAGCATTTAAAGTTTGGCGTTTTAGTTCAAACGACCAAACCAATTTGCGTTACAAAATAAACGCTGCACGATAAATGGCACGCTAACTCGGAATCTCATAAGAATATCATACTGGATTCGAATAAATAGGTTAAGCTTTAATGACGCACACGAACAATGACGAAGAACCCCTCTTTTCGGTGTTAGCAATGTAGAAGAATCGGCAACCGTTGATGTTCTTGGCATGAGAATACAAAATGGTGTTCATTGGACATGACATGTGTTCGAAGCGTCGAAGGACACAACCAAGAGCTTAAGTGTTTCAAAGTGGTGCAAAGAATACTTCACTGCAGCCGACATCCGTATCGTTAATCCAGCCAAAATAAGAGTATAACTCTTATGTGTAGGCGGGAGTCTCCGATTTTTAATTGGAGGTGCTTTATCGACCGAGTAAAGCGAAAGGCTAAGATGATCTTTGGCGACGAGTGTGCCCAGAACTATCCGCATCCTTGAGCATTGCATTAACGAGGTTTGTGGTGCTCTTATGTGCAGGTGTATTCATTCTACAGAAATAAAAGAGATATGTCCATCAACTAATCCCTTCAACAAGACTATACACCTTTCTCAACATTCTCACCCACTTGTCCTGGAGTTGCCTGTATACCGCACAACGCACTACCATGATTCGTCACTTTTTCGTCTCCATTTTCAAGTCGAACGTTCACAAAAAGTGATCCTTCCTTTCTCCTCCTTCTTCTTATAACCCTTCCTGATCACCAAGGTGCCTGTACCTATATGGAGCATAACCTAAGCGGCAGGTCAAAAAAAATTCATATTAAAATTATTTATCTCCAATATTTAAATCTGAAACACTTAAGATGCTTACCAACCCAGGATTGTCAGCAAGAAGTTAAAATCGCTCAAAGTCCTTCGTCTTTTTTTTTTTTTTTTTTTGTTAGAAATAAAGTAAAGAAAAATTTAAACTTCATGGACGGATGAAATGATTTACAAATATTGACCAAAATTTTACAGCTATAGCTTTTAGTTACTTCCTAAAAAAATCACCTCATCAAATTCAACAGTTTGCTAAATTGGAACAACGGTTCCTCTACAATTACTAAGAAAAACATAAGATATATGATTTTCAGTTTATAGAAGTACTGATGGGGTTCTAGAAAGTCGAAGCAAAAATAAAGAATCGATGTGGGATATATAAAAATATCTTGCAGTCAAATATCGTATACAAACTAATGATGGGATGAGCACTAAATGGTTCAATTCTAGTGGTGCTTTATATATATATATATTTTTTTTAATATGAAGAAATTTTTAGAAAAGAAGTTAACATGAGAAGTTTTTACTGTTACTTCAAGATTTCGTTATGGTTGTTTGGAGGTAAAATTTTCTGCTTGTTGAAAACAAGTCATTGTCCTCAGACAACAGGCGCTGAATAACAGATAAACGGGTTCATTTTTGTCCAATATTCGCTCCGATTTATTGATGTGGAACGCACAGGCATTCCTCGCTTAGCACAATTAATGCGTACCTTTCTGTTGCGAAATCGCGTTATACAAATTTTTATTTTTTTATTTTTTATTTAACCCAAAATATCATATAGAGTAACGTAATTTACTAGGAGCTGCATTCAAGTTATGCTCCTACTCTGACCAGTTTGGCCCATTTTTCAATACCAAACCTGCGTGCAAAAACTTCCTATGTTTCTGCCTAATTTGAAGATGAAATCATAATTTGTGCAACCGGAAGAGTGCCAGCAACAAAAACCACACAGACAACCGGACGAACAGTCAAGGTTTCATCAATTCAGAATTTCACACTGATCAAGAATATATATATATATATATATACTTTGTGCACTCTTTGAAGTTTCCTTTTGGGTATTATACACATTATGAGAAAAAGCAAAATAAGTATACAAGCACCCTTCACTGGCTGGTATAAAAAGGTAAAATGTGCTCTATCGTACTCTTATTCGCGTTGTATCAAAACCGTGTTATAAGATATCTTCAAGTAATGTGTGTGTGTATATCAAAACAACATTTTAAACTGTAAATTTCTTTTATTTATTTGATTTCTTTAAATTTCCTTTCAAGGGAGAAATAAGTTTTTTCGTAAAAACAACTTATGAAATACAAAAAATGAATACATGCTCAAAAAATTATAATTACGATTACAAAATTAATTGTTATCTATCAACAAATACAACTAAGCTATATTTCCTTTTTCTCAAAATTGGTTAAAGCTTCGCTTATTAATAACAAAATAAAAATAAAAGCAATTATAGTTTACAAAAAATCTCTTATTAATAACAAAATAAAAATAAAAGCAAAAATAGTTTAAAAAAAACTATATTCGATTTTTTGCAATCATGTTCTATCGAAACCGTGTTATAACTGCCGTATGCCACGTTGCATGAAATTTCCAAACATTTTTCTCCAATTTCTACTCCAGGCGTGTTCTTGTGCCCATGATAATAAAGATAAATTAAAAAAACTGAAAACAATCCCTTTATCACGGCAAAGCAAGAAAAGTAACTCTTTCTTATTCGTTTTCTTAACTAAAATAAAGATTTTATTCTTTTTCAAAGGAAAACACGCTAAAAAATTGTAATTTAATAAAGAAATTTAAAACTTAAGCTATCATCCTATCGCTAATTAAAAAAAAGGAAAAAACAATTACGAATGACTAGACCTTCTCTTTATAACTTAACATACTTACAACTATAAAAAGGATATTCATTTAACACACTTTGTACGTACAAAATTTAAATCATAAAAATGCAATTTAATTATTAGCAGTAACCTAAAAAAAAAAAAATGCCTAAAAATGGATTATGGAAACTTCATTACCGAAAGATCAAATTTACGTTATATATTTGTTTTTCAAAAATTTTGCTACAATTAAGAAAACAAATGTTGTTGTTAGAAATATGCCACCCGGCAAGGAGCGACGTATAGATAAATTAGGATCACGTTCGCGTTGTGCAAATAAAGCTAAATCGGTCTCATAAGTTGCGTAGTTATTCCAATTAAGACATTTGCGTACAGCATATTCCCAACGCTTGTACAATAAATTACGTCCTGGAATAGAAGAGAATTATATAACAATGATTCTTTCTATGTGTGTTTTAAGCTATTACTATTTTGCGTAGTTGTGGGACTAAAAGCGTCTGAGGGCGGCATGTAAGCTAATTCTGCGTACTTAAGATCTACGACCTTCATGGTTATACCCGCCGCAATCATTGTTCCTAAGCCGGCTGGTGAAGTAGTCTGTGGTCGTTCCAATATGAAACCAACAATATCAGCAATGAATTGTATAAAGCTATTGTTTTCCGCGTATTCACCGCCGAAAAGCAAACGTTCTTTAATATTTTTCCAATCCCAAGTAACAGCGTCACGTTTGAAAGCCTGCAGTATTTCGTGTATTTGGAAACCGGTAGCCTCGAAAGCCGCTTGAGTAACATTCTGAGCAGTCGTTTGACTTGTTAAACCTAATAAAGTTCTTTTAAATTTTTTTAATTAATTTCATTTTCTCTTTATAATTGAAAAATGTATTCTTTCTTCTTTGCTTACCCACGGGCGTCGTAACGCCAGTATGGCGAATATAAACCGTGAAAAGCAGGTACAAAAGTAATTTCAGACCTTTTGGCAGCCAGGCCGCATTCAGCATTTAACATACTGGACGAACAGGAAGAAGATATCATAGAACTTTCGCCTAAAAATGTATTCAATACTTCGACAACGTTATCGTTAGAATTAATTTCGGGATTTATTCGCAATTCTTCTTTCAACCATTTAACAGTGGCTCCGGCATTACTAATCGCTCCCTCTAAAGCATAACAAGGTTTCGCTTGAGCACCTAATTTGTACGCGATCGCAGATATTAAGCCATTCTGAGATTCAATCAATTCTTCGCCAGTATTCAATAAAACAAAGCAACTATCGTCAATCGAACACACATTCTGACCAACCTTTACGGATAATTGGCCTAACAAAGATGCCGGTTGATCACCTATGCTCTACAAATAAATGAAGAGTTTTTCAAAGAAATACGCAGAGACGATTAGATTAAATTAAATTAACTTACACCAGCTATTGGAATGCCGTCTAAGGGACCACCAATAACATAACCAAAAACTTCAGAATTAGAATGTATTCGTGGTAATATACTCAAAGGTATGCGATAAAATTCACACAGTCTTTTATCCCATTGCAAAGTGCGTATATTCATTAATCCAGTGTATTGAGCATTGGTGACATCTGTGGCATGAACACCGCAAGATTCGGCTCCAGTTAAATTCTATTTGAACATCGCACCAATATATTACATAATAAAAAATGCAAACAAAAAAGAGATCAAGATTCGTACCCACAACAACCATGAATCTAAAGTACCGCAACACAATGTTCGTTTGGTTATATGATCTGGTACAGACGTTACATTGTCCATTAGCCATTTGATCTTCAAGGCACTAAAGCAAGTGCTTAAGGGCAAACCGGAACGCGGTCGTAAATAATTAACATTATATTTAACATTATTGAGTATTGTCTTGAGTTGTGAAGTACAACGGCAATCAGTCCAACCTAAATCGAAAATAAACAAAAAAAAAAAAGACATCAGTCAAACATTCATTTGTGCACATCTCCCACGTTTTCCTTAAAATACCAATAGCATTATATAAACTAGCTCCAGTTGTGCTATCCCATATCACTGTAGTACCGCGCACGCTACAAATACCTACAGCTATGATGTCATAGGGGCTTATCTCTAGTATAACCAAATTTTTATAAGCTACCTATAATAATATGATATCACATAAGAGAGTAGAAAGAAATCTTATTACTTTTATAAGGCAACACACAAACTTACTTCTATGCACTCTAGGGTATGTTTCCATATCTCTGTCGGGTCATATTCCATCCAACCGGCATTATGAACGATTTGCTTTAATTTCAATTCATGAAATGTCAAAACTTCAGCATTCTTTGCAGAATAGACCTAAACTCCATAATGATATATATTTTTTCTTAATTCCATTTGCTTCTTGAGTCATCCTTACCAAAAACCGACAATGCGTGTTATTAACGTAGATTACACCAATTAGAGGTCCAAAGCTTCCATATTTAGGCATTTTGTACGCCGCCGGGACGAGATTTTTCAATCAGTTTATGTGAATTAAATTGTAATTTTAATTATTGTGCGACTTTTCTTGATAAAAACTAAATAACAAAAATGTTTTCATTGATTGATATCAAACGATTGCGTAAAACCAAAATAAATATATATATTTTCTGACTATATGCCGCGCTTCGTCAATTGTTGTTGTTTCAATTCTGGAGAGCAAAGAGCTACCAAAGCTACTTAAACTGAACAACTGGAACTATGATTGCCTCTGTTAGGAATTTGACCAAAACCGAGATTATTCAGTAATATCGTAAAAAATTCGAATTTTTCAGTGATATCGTAAGTACTATTATTTTCGATTTCTTTTTTGGAAAAATGGATATGGGGGAACACCATTAGAGACTCTAGTGCGGCCAAACTAGGAAATGTCACCTATATTCACCTCTATCACGTGAATCTCTATGAAAGAATGAGCAAAAAGAATTCAAACTTTTCTTTCGGAAACTATTTTTAATCAGTTTTTGAAATTTGTGTATGAAAGAATACCCGGATTTGAGACTCTGGTGCGGTGTATATAGTATATATATATATATATAGTGTGGTATAGTAAAGTATAGTAGAGTATAGTGTAGTATTTATAGTATATATATATATAATATTCGGAAGTCGTGGTCAAATTTTTCATTTTTGTGCAGATGCTACAGCATCGCCCATAGAATGTGCGTCCAAATTTTCGAACATCTCGAACATGCTATATTTTACGGATAAGGAAAGAAAACACTTTTTTACTTCTTTTGAAAAATGGAAATGTTCTCAAATTACGTGGTGCTGCAGGTGAGTCTTTCCATCGATTTGACCCATTTCCAATACCAACCTGCATGCGAGAACGTCCAACGTTGCCTGATGAATAGCTTCATTTTTGCGGCCAAGAGAACGTTTAGAACAGACATTACACAGACGGACAGACAGATACGTAAATCGATTTAGAACTTGCTGCTAATCAAGAATATATATAGTTTGTGGGGTCTCTACGGATTTCTTCTGGGCATTTCAAAGGGTTTGATAAAATGAATATACCCTTCATACTATAGGGTATAAAAATGTAAATAAAAAATATGATAATAAATTTTCACTCTTTTGCTACCACGCTTTGCGTGTAAACATGTTCAGAATATAGTTAGCCGGAAATGAAAATGTGCGTGTTGTTGGAAATTTTTTCTGCTAATAACAAACTATGGATTGTATATATTGATGCCACAGATATTATGAACTGTAAAAGAGTTTGATATCTTTATTACTAGTAGTTAATAGTTACGAGACAACCATAGATTTTTATCGTTTCTAAAGAAATGCCGCATCTACATGGTCCCAAGCAGGGTCCGTAAGCAGAACTTATTGATTTTTGTTTCAAAAATGTGACTTCAATTGATTGAAGAAATAATCCTTCCTTTGAATAATATCTAATTGGTAGATTCAGATCAGAATCTATCATTTTGCTTAAAGCCACTATATTGATTTTATTCTCTGCGCCGCTGTCTCTTATTGGTACAGAAGCATTATAATGTGTTGGTGATTATTTAGAAATACTATGACTAGACAAAGCAAGTAAGAATTGCTTTATTAAAACACATTTCAACACAAACTAAAAAAAGTTACAATCGGGCTAGGACAAATTTAAATACCCTACAACATTATTTTCGTCATAAAATACCAAAAATTAGACTTCGTCGTCTTGCGAAACTTTATTCTTTATGGCAATAATTAAATGGGGTAGTGTTTAAGAATGAACCAACGGGATTCAAATTTAGCATAGCAAATCTACATCGCAAAATAATAAAAATCACGTCTTCTCATATATAGACTTAGTTTTTATAAAGAATGCGAGAGGGTGCAAAGAATGGTTTCAACTAAATACCCTACACCACTTGTGTGGTATAGATCCACCAATCGATTTAGAATCATAATCTGAATTGATCTAAGCCTGCCTGTCCGTCTATCCGTTTGATGTTTGTGTATGTAATTTTGTGTTCAAGCAACAGGCCGCAATTTGTGAGATATTATGATGAATTTGGTATAGTGATTTGACCCAGAGACCAAATTTTGAAAAGACGTTATATAGAAAAAATTACAATTTTCAAAATTTCTTGACAAAAGTAGCTAAGTAGTAGTATTTCGGCATTCTAAATTCGTATGAAAACTTTAGACTAGCTGAGGCAATTTTTGAGTCTCCTCTCATGTAACGAAAACTAAAGTCGACATACGACAAAGAGGTAAAATTTTCAATGCTTCCTGATGAAAATTATATTATAGTAGTAACTAAACATAAAAGAATTAACTATACCAAATTTGGGCCATGTCAAGCTATTTTTTGCAATGTACCCTAAAAAGGATTTTCACAAAAATTGATCCTTTGTAGAGCTGAAAAATCGAAGTTTTGACCCATACTTGTCGTTTCATACAAAAATAAAATGTGTCTTACACAATATGGTGTAGGGTATTCAGTGGTCGGCCTTGCCCAACTACAATGTTCTTAGTTGTTTTCACCGATGTTTACCGTGAAATATTGAAAATTAATTAAATTTTGAGAGCAAAAATATTCGGATTCAATCAACTTTGGCCAAATAATGTATTAAATTTGATTAATTATTTAATTTTGATTAATCGAAGAATTCCATAGCCAACTATCAGACCGACATATAGATAAGCAAATTTCAGTCACAGTCTCAAATCTTTCCATTATAGTTATTACGTATTTGACACGTCTATACAAACTTAATAAATCCCTGCATCACGAGTAACGTAGAGTACAAATAAATTATATAAATTAATAGTTTATTAATATTAATGGGCTAGAATCGATTCATTATAGCCCCAAGTCGAAGTAGGTGCCAAAAAATGGAAAATAAACACAAAAATTAGAAAAGACATTGATACGATGTTAAGAAAATTTGGGATTTATTTAAATGGTTCCTAAAAAAGACGCAAATTGCTAAAAGTGAATAGCTTTTCACATATTGTCGCACAGTGTGACATATGTTTTAAATTAAATTTAGATGTAAAATGTAATGAATTTGAAGTGTTGCACATGTAAAATTGGTTTTAAGGTGAATACAATAATTTTATTATCTATATATATATATATAAAGTATATATATATATATGTCTTTCATTTCCTTATGTTTATATAAATACAGTATACGGTGTTTAAAAGGTGTATATAAATTAACACTTTTTTCTTATATTTAAAAATTTTATATTTATATATAGAATATATATTTAAAGCAATACTTTTTAAATGTCTTGAAATGCATATGATTTATTCATTTATTTTTTAATTCTTCAGATTGATCGTTTCGCTTGCAGTCCTCAAATATATATATATATATATATGCATAAAAGACCTTATGACGACCCTATGTATCAATTGTATATCAACGACTCTGAATTGATGTATGTTTGCCTGTTCTTGAGATAAAAATACATATGAGGTCTACAATAGCTGAGCCGTACAAGCCAACTTACAACCAGTAATAGTAGATATCAGTATAAAATTTGGTACAAATGAAAACTCAATCCATCTCGAAGTTCAGTGCTAAAGTGCTTCAAAACGGCCGACCAACATGCCTTCAATTAATAAAATATATTGATTTTTCCTGTGTGCTTATGTGGGTGAGTTTTGAGATGGGGAGTATGCGATGTTTGCTCCAAGATGAAATATAATATTCGTACTTGAGTTTGTTTTTTCTTTTTTTTTTTTTTTTTTCCTTACATTAAAAATTAAAGAGCTTCACACCCTAATATAAATACTTCTTCATATTTTTATATACATCTCCATGTACATATAATTTATTAACTAACATTACCTAAAGAATAATAATTTTAATGCCAGCAAATAAACTGATTATTTGACTGACTTTAGTTTAAAGTGCATTGTAAATGTAGTGATATAGTAATTTCTCAGAAATCGAAGACTCCAAACTAAAAAAGTCAATCTTGTCGCTGAAAATCTGAACAACAAAACTTGTCTTGAAATTTGAGAAATTTGGGCAAATATTCTACTATATTACTTTAAGGGGATTCATCTTGAAGAAAATTCAAGTATATTGCATATATGGAAAATTCTATGCGCCTAACATCTATCTACCTATCCCTACAGGGATCTTTGCATTAAAAATGAAATTTAAACAGTAATTAGACTTTATGTCATCCCGCATTGAAGGCTGAGTAGGAAAAGAAATTTTGCTCTAAATCTAAACTTAAGTGGCTTGAAATTAAGTACTATTGAAACAGCCTTAAAGCCGTCATATTACAAATCCGGCTAATTAGGAAAAACGTATGAGTTTTAAACATTTAAAAACAATTTAAATATTAAAATAAAGGAGAACAAAAAAAAAAAAAGAAGAAAATTCAAGCAAAAATATTTCGCATAATTGATGATGATTATATAAAAACAAAAACAAGGATAATAATAATAAGTTCACACATTAAACTTTCATACTAAATAACAAAGCAACGATGACACTTACTTGGCTAAAATTATTTATCTAACTTTACATCTTTATAGTATAGTACTTGTGTGAGCGTTTATAATACAATACATGATGATTATTAACGATAATGTGCTGCTATCTTATGCTTAAATATGATTTTATAGACCTTGAATGCATAACAAAACAAAATATGTGTACATATGATGGTAATTTTCTGATTACATTTAAGTTCTTATTTTATCTTAAAATTTTTATTATTATGATTGCGATTAAGAACAAAATTGAAAAATTCCCTAAGTTAGGAGATCCGCTTCATTTCCGAAGCGCTTAAAAAGCAGTCAAAATTCTCATATTTTCTACATTTTCATTTCATCGAATATTTCCAAAAACTAAGCTTACGGTATTGAAGTAGTATAAATGTGTCCGGATATGAAATCTTCACAAAAATTTCAAAAATTTTAGAAATATATTCAGTCATGGGATCAAGCTAGAAAACTGAATAAATTTATATTCATAAAACTGAAATTTATATTCCGCTAGAAACTGTAAATAGTTTCAAAGAATTGCAGAAAGAACTGACACACTAAATAAAACTGCTTTTATGGAATTGAAAATTTGACATATATAAATCGGAATGGACAGGCCTCTTCAGACGGCCATGATATATGAGGTGAATTTATTTTTCATATGTCTGTCTCTTCTTGAAAATTCATCCTCGACATAATCAAATTTTTCATTTCCATTTGGTAAATGGGTGGATTTCGTATCGGGCCACAAACTCAAATGCCACAGAAAGATTACATGTCAATTTCGCTTCGGATTTGCTCATCTATTTACCAGTTTCAAATTCGTAGTGCGATGTCGGTCTTTGTATTAGAATTATAATTATTACAAATTGAGATGGTAACATCAAAAAATATAATTATATACCGTATTTTTCCGACTTCAAATTTATAAGATGACTTTTAGGAAAATAAATTTTACTTTCGAATCAAAATTGCTGTAGCAATATTCAGTATATCTGCACTCTCGTTATTATCACTCACACATCTCCTTAACGAAAGTGTTCGTATTATTTTCATCGTGACCATAAAATGTACCTCAAGTTTAGAGACGATTTATTGAAAACATATTCTAATCTTACCTTCGGACCAGAAAACGCACACAAAATTTTACTCCACTTTTTTATGTAAAAAAGGTGCATCTTATTGTCCGAAAAATACGATACTGTCACCTATTTCCTGCTTTATTAGCATCTAACGGTTTCATTGTTTTTAGTTTACAACGGGAAATGCTGAAAATAAAGAAAACATAAGGAAGTGGAAAAGCAAATATAAAGTAATCAACGAGAAAATGATGAATGAAATAATATTATTTTCTATTCTGTTATCGGTGAGTCACAAGATCAGCTTTAGAACCATTTTGTACATTGTTCATGCAAAATTGTAACAAATTAGATAAATAAACGTAAACAATTTGTTGACCTAAATCTTTACTTTTCACTTTCCTGCCTACGTCGGAATTTTATATGCACTAAATTTTTACATCCGCCTCAATTTGTCTGCTTGATTCAACATAAAATAAAAAAATTCTTCATTGTGTGCTTAATTGATACTTGAAGTTGCTCTTGATCTTTATAAAAGTTCTATATGTAGGCACATATAGATGCTACTCTTTCACATATCGACTGCCTTCATTCATTCATTACTTGCCGCAATTCATTCGAATTCAGCCGCTCTTGTCATTTCTGTTCCTCTGAGATTTTTATCTCTATGCTTGTTAATGTTAACGCCATTCAAGGCGTTACTATTACGATTTACATCCTCGACTTCTTGTTGTCCACTTGGTCATAAATCGGGAAAACGTCTAGCATCTTCTATGTAATGTTCAGGTATTTCGAAAAGCTCTGATGAGATATTGTCACGAAATTCAAACTTTTGGAATGTTATCTTAGCAGTAACGGTATGTAGGACGGGTATCTCCACCTTAACAGGAAAACCGGCAGGCAGTTTAAGAGCAACAAATTCACGCAATTTATTAATATGTTTAAAAGGAGCTATAACTTCCAATATGTTAAGCAACATGTCCACATTAAGAGGAAAATCTTTGCTCATAGCTACAGTGGCACGTAACGACTTATTGGACTGCTTGTGGATGGGGGGGCGTCCAAGTTGCGGACATTTACCGACTTCTGCATTAATATATTCTTCCCATGAGATGGCAGGGGCTGGTGGCGGCTGTAGTGAGCAACGTCGCGGAATAGTCACCGTGGCACTAGTGGACCCTGCATCGGCCGAATTGTTGCTGCAGTTGGTTAAACTCGAGCGACGTCCTTTTGTTAGAGTGTCCACCATTGCTTTATTTTTCTGCAGATCATCTTGAGAAAGATGTTCACGTCGCTTACGTTGTTTGAGGATTAAGCCATGAATAGCATACAACTCACAGTGATATTGTCCGCCCACCAATTCTTTCCGATCTTCTTTAAATATCCAGCCTGTTTGCGCTCGTCTAAAATGTATGCTTTTAGTTGACATATTAGCAGCTAAAATATCCGTGGACATTAAAGTATCAATTTCGTCCTCTATATCTGCTTCTTCATAGTGTATTCGTTGATAGCATTCATATTCATTATCTAGAACGGTTAATGAATGATTCATCGGGCGATCCCCCCGAAAAATGAATGATATATCACCCCGTTCCCAACGCATATCATTAAAATCCACCAGGGTAGTATCCAGCCGCAGAGAACTTCCTGATTTGTGTATACGGCATATATCTGAAGGCAGCATGCGCGAGACCAATGGCACCCAGGACGCGAAATCCCATTTAAGCTCCATGTAAAAATCTTGCATCTGTTGTAAGCCGCGTATCATATTCGCTCTTTGCGATTCCAAATGTTGCCGTGATTGCTGCCTTAATTTTCTCAACATCGCCCCTATTATCTGTCGATCACCGTACGATATAGCTTCTGCCAGGCAAGACCAACCTTCACTGTTCTTTTGCTTAACTGGAGCATTATGAGTTAATAGTAGATGCGTACATTCTTTACGACCTAACGTGACTGCCAAATGCAGAGGCGAGTTACCATGTTTATCGCGACGGGAAAGCTCAACATCCAGAGATTTACCCAGGGGTTTTTGCAATAGATAAGCCAACATTTTGTAATCATCCAAAAATACGCATTTATGCAATGGATATTCTTCACACTCCCAGTCCAAAAATAATTTTCTTGCACTTTCGGGTGTGGTTTGCGGTGTTCTAGTCGGTGTATTGGGTGCTGAATGGAAGAGATCATCTGCCTCGTCCTCCAAATCAGGTATGGACACATCCATTTGCGTCGTTGGGACAGAAAAATTTTCTGCTTTTACACTGCCGCCGTTCTTGTCCAGCAAATTTTTGTTGTTTATTGCTCCATTAATTGGTTTGATTTTCTTCTCTTTTTCTTTTGACATTTTCATAATTAAAAACTTTTGTTTTAAAGTTTTCTAACACAAACAAAGTGCACGTATTATTATTTATTACATTTATTTCACAATTTTATTCTGTTGTATTAAAATAGAAAACGTACTTTTTTGTTTGATATGAAGAAAAATTATTATTGAATTTTCACCACATATTGTATTTTGTGAGAGGAATGTCAAGTGATGTCAACCATAGATTACTGTTACATGCATAATGTAATAAGCGTTTATTATTTTGATTTAGCGCGTTAGAAGACCATTTTTACGGACATTGCTTTTTTGCACTTACATACGAAACATTATGGTAATATTGTTTTCATAAATAACAGAAAATTAAAATAATCAGAGTTTTTAAGTTGCATTGTATAAAAAGCAAGAACGTTTCAAAACAAAATTATAGCTTTTGCAGATAGTCTCTAAAGGGACTACCAAAATAAAATCAACCCAAATTGAACAAGTTTTCTACCTAATTTAACAATTTATACCTATTCTAATCAAATCGTGTTTAAATCAAGAATCCATTCAAATCATCATTTTTTAAACGGATAATTCTCAGTAATCTTTTCATGATATCATTTAATAGAGTAGTAACAAAGTACAAGGATTTCGTTACAACTATTTTGTAGAATATATATTTGTGACGTTGGTACGTTTCGCTGAAAGTCAAAAAAATGGTTTTCTCAAATAAAGTAGTAATTGCGTGTGCATGCAATATTTTGATGCCTTAATACGAAGATACTTCATTCTTCCCTCAGCGAGCGTAGATTAGAAATATTAGGTGCTTGCAAAAATTTTGATCAGCGACTTGTTGAGGTAAAAATGATAAAGAAATGTGAAATACTAATCTACATTACAGTTGAGTTCGATTGTTTTGACCTTCCTCTACAAAACATAGAAGTTTTTCATTTAATATTATTGATTTATTCAGCGTACGTCGACGTTAACCATGAAGCGCACAAAATTCATCTTCCAAATTCATTACTTTTGTTGTTCATTTGAAGAAATCTGCTTCCGATGACGACCAAACACGTTCAGAGACTTATGGTGATGCTGCTCCATCATGTCCCAATTGTCGGATCTGGGCTCAACAGTTTAAATTAAAAGTAGCGGTACTAATTGACTGAAAATGCCATTTTTTGGCCACCTGTTGCACGAGTTGTCCAGGATACATTGTTGCACTTCGAATGGGAAGTGCTGCCACACCCAGCGTACTTACTAGATATGACGCCTCGCGATTATCACTTGTCCAAATCGGTACAGCATGGCTTAACTGGCACGTGGGCCTGCAATTTGAAGAATTGTGAAAATAGATTGGTGAGTAGATCGTTGCCAAACCGATTTAAGTGCTATCGACATGATATCGCCATGTTGCCAAAAATATTTTGAATAAAAATATATATAGTATATATTTGCAAACGACTCGCAAGAACAAGGGAATTGCAATTGGGGAATGTACTGTTATATTCATATGTCCACATAATATGACATCTGACTTTTATTATTTATTTTATCAAAATATGTTAGAACATAAATCAAATCTGGTAGCTCCATTTTTACTTACAATAATAAAAACAAATCTTTACGTGAATTTTTGTTCGTGTATTATTTTTGTGCTGCAACAAAATCTGGAAAAATAACAAGTGGCCATCATTGCAATTGAAGTTATTTTAAAATTAAATTTTTTAAACTATCAAAAATTAAGAAAATTTTTTTATTAGTGCGTAAAATACATCAAACCTGTTATAAAAGATGCATCACTACGACGTTATACAGCATAAAACAACAAAATTTTTACAAAGGAAAAGTGATGAGCATAAATAATTTAATTAAAATTAAGAACGAAATAAGCGATTAGCACTGAAAAAACACGAAAAAAAAAAAAAAAATTGAAAGTTTTTTTGTGCCTGGATTGTAAAATTTTCAATAGGTAAATAAAAATTTCAGAAGAGACGTATTTTCAGCTCAGAAATAAGTGCATAATAACAACAATGAAGATCGGTTAACGATTGCACTGATAAGAAAGCAAATTTTGCATAAGCACCATAAACAAATAGTAAACAGAATTTTCGCAATTACAATATTTATCAAAACAATATTTATTATTATTATTATTTTAATTGATTTGGTCAGAGAAACAAAATCCTAAAGTCTTAACGCAATATAGTTTCTATCTAAAGGCTATCGGCTCAAAAAACAATATTGATTTTACTTTACATGTAATAAATACAAAAAAATATAAAAAATACAATTTATTGTATTAACGTCAGTCAAGTTAATTTTTATTTCGGAAATTGTTTGAAAAACTTACAATACAAACAAAATCTTTCTGTCTATGTTTGCTCTCAGCAGCGCTAGTATGATTAATCCCAAAAACTATGATTCCCGACGTAACAATTCTACATTGATGTTGTTCGATCGTTATATGTATCCGCAAGTAGATTATGCTATAAGAAGACGTTTACAAACCCATCCATCACATATACAGCGTCTTGAGTTGGAGGCTGTTTTGAACGGGCATGAAGGCTGTGTTAACTGCTTGGAATGGAGTACAAATGGTCGCTTATTAGCATCAGGTTCTGATGATTTTCAATTATGCCTCTGGGATCCATTTCGAAGGAAGCGCTTACATGCCATACATACGAAACATTATGGCAACATGTTTTCGGTGAAATTTCTCCCGAAACATAATGATGCTTTGATAGCTACAGCAGCGGCCGATAAGTCAGTAATGTTGTTTGATATCAATTCCTCACAAGAAGCCATTTACACATGCCACTGTCATGGGGCCAGAGTGAAGAGATTGGCGACTGCACCAGACTCGCCATACGTTTTTTGGTAAGGCAAAAACAAAAATATATGCGTTGACAATAAACAATAATGAAATTTAATATGTCTATATAGGTCTGCGGGTGAAGATGGCGTCATTCTGCAATTAGATCATCGTGAAAAGCACACTTGTCGATCGGAGGATAATCGTGTGCGCCTGATTAATTTAACCACTTATATTGATACAAACGCTGAAGCTAAATGCATAGCGTTAAATCCTGTAAAAACTGAACTTTTGGCGGTAGGTGCTAATGATCCTTATGCGCGTATTTACGATAGACGCATGCTAACACCATCATCGTCAGCCGCCGTATTGGCAGCAGGTATGAAAAATGTTCCTAAAATTTGTCTTCTTTATAAAATTCTAAATTTGCCGTTCCGATTGTAATACCAACGAACACACTTGAAACACCGCAAAAAATGCAGATACTTTAGATCGGAATAATATTTCAAGATTATGTCGAAAAAATTGCTATAGACAATTGAAAATTCCCACAATATTTAAGATTGGCTTATACGAGCGCGCGATTAAAATCTGAAAAGTATATATCTTTTTGCGTACTTTCCCCATGGCCAGTATAGGCCGTAAATGCAAAAGCAGTGTTGATCGGCACACCGTGGTACAATCTTAATTAACAGAGTATTCTGCATTTTTTGCGTACTCGATGGAAGTGATTCAAGATGCGTCGCAAGGCGAATATATATATACATATATAAATATGTAGATTTTCTACTTCTTAAATTTGATGTCTTTTTTATTTTGTTTTTAGAGTCTTTTGATAACGGGAGACCTATACCTAAAGATTGCGTTAATTACTTTTGTCCTGGCCATATTAATAAAAATAATTCCAAGGTTATCGAACATGAACCACGCGCCATAACCTATCTAACTTTTAACCCTACGGGCACTGAACTTTTGGTTAACATGGGCGCTGAACATATTTATCTTTATGATTTGTTGAATGCCGAGCAGCCAGTGTTTCTTAATCTACCGGAATTTAAATTGGCAGCCACAACGTGCTTAGAAGCTGAACCTGATAATTGCGCTGAAGTGACTATTCCCAAATGTTCAAGTAGTAATCGTCGCAAATTACCCGAAAATATAGATGAATACAAAAAATTAGGTAACGAATTGCTGGAAAATGAACAGTATTTAAGAGCCATTAACACTTATTCACATGCTATCGGATTGGAATCGCAGTGGCCGGTTCTGTATTTAAATCGCGCTACAGCGTATATGCGTCGTTTATGGTTTGGAGATGTTTACGCTGCTTTACGCGATTGCCATAAAGCCTTACGTTTAGATTGTTCTTATATTAAAGCCCATTTTCGTTTGGCACGAGCTTTACTAGAATTGGGACGTCCTCAGGAGGCTGATGAATGCCTAAAAGAGTTAATACGTCGTTTTCCTAGTTATGCTAATAATCACGGCGTTCTCATGCTCAACAAAGACATCAAAGAGAATCGTCAAACTACTCAAAGTCAACAGCAAGCCAATGAAGCTTACAATCGCTTAGAATTATCCGACGATGAATTTTATTGGCGCAGCAAAGCCAAAGATTATTCTCTGCGTTTTGTAGGCCATTGCAATATTACAACCGATATTAAAGAGGCCAATTATTTCGGTTATAATGGTGATTATATAGTGGCTGGTTCAGATGATGGTAATTTCTTTATATGGGATCGTAAAACCTGCAATATACACTCCGTCTATAAGGCTGACAGTGCCATTGTCAATTGTGTGGTACCTCATCCAGATATATGTATGATGGCCACATCGGGCATTGATCATAACATTAAAATCTGGTCTCCTCTGGATGGTACAACAAAACCAAATGCTGTGACCGGAATTGAACATAGTGTTGAAAGTAATCAAATGAAAATGAAAACCGATCCGTTCGATATAAGTACTAGAAATTTATTATGCTGGAATGGGTAATTCAATGGAATAATTAAATGCTATAAAACGGGACTTTTTTGTTACTTTTCACGATATTGTGAGAATATTATTAATAAAAAAATTTTATTTCACCTTTTTATATTTATATATGTACCTATGCATGCGTAGATATAAAACACTCGTGAAACGAAATCAATGTTATGTTGTGCATTATTATGTTATGTTTTTAAATAATAAATAAATAGAAATTATAAAATAAGATATTGAAAACAAAACTTTGGAAGCATTACATTTATTAATCAATAATTAATAATTAAACAAGCATTTTAAAAGTTGAACAACAAATTTAACAAATATTTAACAATCGTTTGAAGTTAACACTTTTCTAACTTTTCAACTATCCATGGATTTATCTGAACACACTTGGCCTTGCCTTAGTATTTTTTTCTTTTCTTGACAGATAACATTTAGGCTCCATACCTTACCAAATTTAGTCATCATCATCGTCATCATCTTCGGGTACGAACAAATCGTTCTCTTCCAAAAAGTTAGCCACAGTTTTACTAATAGCTGCTCCAACGAACAAACCAGGAATAACTGTACAAATTATACGCCCCAAGGCAAAATTTGTTTCCTCTGGTTTAGGTTTTACAGCACCACTGCGAAAATGAGCCGCAGAGTGTATATTTTTGCAATTGTTTGTTGCATTGCTATATATCAACATTTTTCTAAAGGTTGCAGTAGCTATGGCAGCCGTCGCTCGCATTGAAAGCAAACCTTTAGGACTCATGATGTTATTTAGTAAAACAAATTTATCACTTAACTTTGAATATTGCTAAAGTCAAGTCATCAAATCTTCCATTAATGTTAATTTTTTTTAATAATTTGTTTTGTTGTTGTATTCTGTTTTCAACATATAAGCGAACGATGTTGCCATCTTCAATAATTTTGTAAGGATCTTCATAGTGAAATAAGCAGCACTGCCCATATAATTACTGCAAAGAGATAAAAAATTTTATGTAAATGTCGTATGTTATGTATTGTTTTTTTGAAGCATTTGTTTGAATATATATGGAAAGAGAATATTCTTTTTTTTTTGAA